CAGCCAAAAGTTTCATAAAGAGATCTTTTCATAAAGAGGAAGATAAAATGTCTCAGACAGATGGAGATGAGGCACGTTCCCGAGAGACAGAATTTATCAGCTCAATTTTGAAATAAAATGTTGGGGAAACTGAGTTGGTATCTTCTATTGTTTGGCTCCCTACGTCATTCTAAATCCCTTCTAACCTAGGAAGAGCATGGATGGATGGATGGATGGATGATCAGACCAATTCAGGAAAATAGGAAATAACATGGGGAAGCATGCTTCACAATCCTAACTATCAGTTCTTTAAAAACTACAGTGGGAAAATTACCCATGGCCTACCTTCAAAAAATCTAATACAGAACTGACACCCAGCTGGTGTGGCTCAGTGGTTGAGTGTCGACCTATGAACCAGGAGGTCACGGTTCAGTTCTTTGTCAGGGTACATGCCCAGGTTGCAGGCTCAATCCCCAGTGGGGGGTGTGCAGGAGGCAGCCAATCAGTGATTCTCATCATTGATGTTTTTATCCCTCTCTCCCTCTCCCTTCCTCTCTGAAATCAATTAAAATATATATTTTTTAAAACTTACATATTGGGGATTTACTTTGCAACTCAAAGGCTTAGATGGAGCTCAAGCTTCATCAAAACAAATTCTAGGTGACCAGCAGGCATTTTATCCTACTCCAATTTAGCCAGAAATAATTGGGCCACTGTAGAATTTTTTAAACTGAACTTGTGTGTGTGATGTAATTTGTTTTGCAATGTCAATAAGAAGAAAGTCTCAAACCCCACTTGCCTTCAGCCAGGCCCTCGTGGTCCAATCCTCCCACCACCCCAAAGCAGGAGAAATCAATCCAGATCCGTGCTGCCCATTGGAGTTTCTTACCTCGGTATATTTCTTTCCAGTCTGGGCCTTTTTTGCTTCCCCTTCACAGCAGCCAAATCCCACCTAGAAGTTGCACCACTGGTGGCTTCTGGACTTACTTTCCCAAGAAACCTGGCGCCCAGGTCTTCTCCTTCCCGTTCAGCTCAGTTCTGTGAACGGGATTATTTAAGAAACCACCTTGCATCCTGGACAAGTGAGTGACATCCAGGTCACACCCCCTTCTCAGTCAGCCCTTCACCTGATCCCTTTATAAAGGGGAAATTACATCTCTTATGGAAACAGAAAGAGGCTGCCAAGCTTGAGAATATGTTGTTCTCAGGAAGGCTGGGGGCATTTCTGAAAGAGTGGGGGTCTAGGCCAGGTGCAGAGGGAAGTTCTGCGTTTTCAAACCTTCACTTGCAGCCATCACTGTTTAGGATTAGAGGGCAAAAGGCTGGTTGGTGACCCCTCTAAGCAGAGCATAGTTTTAGACGGCTGTGGAGAAGGGCAATAAGGAGCTGAGGACCTTGAACCTGTCCAGTGACCTTGACAACATGGGATCATTACTGACTGCATGCCTGGTCCATGCCCAGTGCCTTAAAACCCCTTTCACAGCCCAGAGGTGGAGATCACTGTCCCCACTTTGGCCATAAGGGGAACAACTCCACACCCTGCCTGAGGGCACACACAATAAACTACCAGATATGGAACTCAAGGATACACATCTTTTGATTACAACTGTCATTCTTGGGCTCAGTCTGTTTTAATCATTAAGTGAATATTTGCTGAGCATCTAATTGTGCCTTAAGTTGTGCTGGATAGGTCATGCAAGACCTTGATATGGAAGGTGACAGAGAAGCCCCCTGGGGTATGAGCAATGACACTTCCATAAGCACCAGGCAACCCAATACACGGAGGGGCAGGTGGGGTTGAAAAAAAGAGACCTGTCCAAAGGACTCTTACATTTTGTCAGGCCTTCTGGAATCTTATTTAGATCTAGATTCTAAGTGGAAGTGCTTCATAAATTGTAAATCAACCTCATTCTACCAGGATAGTTACCATAGATAGACGTTATCATTAACCTGGATAAAGGTCATTCAGACTAAAGAGTTAATGAAACAATCTTTTTTAAAAATTAAGTTTATTAGGGTAACATTGGTTAATAACATTTTTAGATGTAAAATTCCATAATATATCACCTGTATATTGCATGTATGCTCACCCTGCCCCAAAGTATATTTACATTCCATTCCATATGCTTTCCCCCTTTACCCTCTTCATCCTTCCCCACTTCTCCCTCCTACCCAACTGGGAACCACCACACTGTTGTCTGTTCCCATAAGTTTGTTCATTCATTGCTGTTTTATATCCCACATGAGTGAAATCATGTGGTTCTTGTCCTTTTCCACCTGACTTATTTCACTTAGCACGATACTCTCAAGACCCATTCATGCTGCCACAACAGCAGTATTTCATTGCACATATGTGCCACATCTTTATCCGGTCCTCCATGGAAGGGCACTTTAGTTGTTTCCATGCCTTGGCCACTGTGGATAATGCTGCAGTGAACACGGGGGTGCATACATCTTTGGGAATAAATGTTTTCAAATTCTGGTGGTAGATACCCAGATGAGGGATTGCTGGGTCATGTGATAGCTCTTTTCTTAATTTTTTGAGGAACCTCCATAGTGTGTTCCATAGAGGCTGCATCAACTTACATTCCCCTTAGCAGTGGACAAGGGTTCCTTTTTCTCCACATTCTCTCCAACATATTTCTCATCTTCTTGATGATAGCCCCTCTAACAGGTATGAGCTCCTTGTGCTTTTGATTTGCATTTCCCTTATAACTAGTGAAGGTGAGCATCTTTTCATTTATCGGTTGGCCATCTATATGTCTTCTTGGGGAAAGTGTCTATTCAGGTCCTCTGCCCTTTTTTTAATTCGATTGTTTGTTTTTGTTGAGTTGTATGCATTTGTTTGTGTGTGTTTTTTTCTCATTAAGCTTTGTTATTTTAATGGGTCTCAAAACTCTGTGACAGATTTTTGGTCATGTTGTTTCCATTAAAAAGTACTGATTTAAGAAACTAATAACTTAAAAACTGCCACACACACAAAAGAACCAAATGGTCCACAAAACATTCTCCTTTCCTTCTGAAGGTTTTACGATGCATTGTAATCATTAACCAGTCTTTTACTATTAAACTTAAATGCCAATTGAGATACACAGTTCTGAGACGGTTCTTCCACCACTGATTGAGACTGGGGTGGCAAGTGCTGGAGATAATATTCACTTAGCTTCTGAGCTTTCTGGTCAGACCTGGTGACTTTGCCAGCTCCAGCTGCCTTTTCGTCCACTGCTTTGATGACACCCACAGCAACTGCCTGTCTCATATCACAAACAGCGGAACAGCCCAGAGGAGGGTAGTCAGAGAAGCTCTCAAAACACATGAGCTTGCCAGGAGTCATGTCAACAATGGCAGCCTCACCAGATTTCAAAACTTAAGGCCATCTTCCAGCTTTTCCCCAGAATGACAATCCATCTTCTCCCTCAGCTCAGCAAATTTGCAAGCGATGTGAGCTGTGTGACCATCCAGCACAGGTGCATAGCCAGCACTGGTCTGGCCTGGGTGGCTCAGGATGATCACCTGAGCTGTGAAGCCAGCTGCTCCCCCTGATGGGTCATTTTTGCTGTCACCAGCCACATGGCCACGGCGAACATCTTTGACAGACACGTTCTTGACATTGAAGCCCACGTTGTCCCCAGGAGGAACTTCACTCAAAGCTTCATGGTGCATTTCAGCAGACTTTACTTCAGTGTAACGTTGACTGGAGCAAAGGTGACCACCATGCCAAGCGTGAGAACACCAGTCTCCACTCGGCCCCCAGGGACAGGACCCATACCACCAATCCTGTAGACATCCTGGAGGGACAGACGCAGAGGGTTGTCAGTTGGACGAGTTGGTGGCAGGATGCAATCCAGAGTTTCAAGCAGTGTGGTTCCTCTGGCATTGCCATCCTTACGGGTGACCTTCCATCCCTTGAACCAAGGCATGTTAGCACTTGGCTCCAGCATGTTGTCACCATTCCAACCAGATATTGGCACAAATGCAACTGTGTCAGTGTTGTAGCCAATTTTCTTAATGTAGGTGCTGACTTCTTTAACAATTTCTCCGTATCTTTTCTGGCCGTAGGGTGGCTCAGTGGAATCCATTTTGTTAACACCAACAATCAGCTGTTTCACACCCAGTGTGTAGGCCAGAAGGGCGCTCACGGGTCTGCCCGTTCTTGGAGATACCTGCTTCAAATTCACCAACACCGGCAGCCACAATCAGGACAGCACAGTCAGCCTGAGATGTGCCTGTGATCATGTTTTTGATGAAGTCTCTGTGCCCTGGGGCATCAATGATGGTCACATAATACTTGCTGGTCTCAAATTTCCACAGAGAGATCTCAATGGTGATACCGCGCTCCCGTTCAGCTTGCAGTTTATCCAAGACCCAGGCATACTTGAAAGAGCCCTTCCCCATCTCAGCAGCCTCCTTCTCAAATTTCTCGATGGTTCTTTTGTCGATGCCACCACATTTGTAGATCAGATGGCCAGTAGTGGTAGACTTGCCAGAATCTATGTGTCCAATGATGACAATGTTGATGTGAGTCTTTCCCTTTCCCATCTTGGGTTTGAGTTAATGGTGGTTTTCACAACACCTGTGTTTTGGTGGCAAACCTGTTATGAAAAAGCTGTATGCATTTTTTTAATACATCTTAGTCCCTTATTGGAGATATCATTACAAATATCGTTTCCTATTTGGTTGGTTGCCTTTTTGTTTTGTTGATGGTTTCTTTTGCTGTGCAGAAGCTTTTTAGTTTGATGGAACCCCATTCATATATTTTTGCTTTTACTTCTCTGGCCTTTGGGGTCAAGTTCACAAAAAACCCTCTGAGACCAAGATCCATACGTTTAGTACCTATATGTTCTATGCATTCCATTGTGTCAGTTCTTATATTTAAGCCTTTAATTCATGTTGAGTTAATTTTTGTGTATGGTGTCAGCAATCTAGGTCCATTCTTTTGTATGTGGCTTTCCAGTTTTCCCAGATGATTTCCTTTCTCCATTGCATGTTTTTGGCTCCTTGCCACTTCTGTTCTATTAGTCTGTGTGTCTATTTGGAACAATCTTATTCTACACCTGGCCCTTGAATTTGTCCAAGCCTACAAATCACTTTCTCCAGTTACTCCAGCATAATGTGCTCTCAGAGCAAACAAAGTTGCTGATGATGTCATGTGGGGTTTAACAAAGCAGAGAGCCACACAGGGGCCCGCCCTCCATCAAACACAGAACATTAGCTGTTCTTCCTCACCCAGAGAGAAAAATCTATGAGAAAGTTCCTGATCTTGTGCAGCTTAGCCTCAGACAACGATAAAAGGTGTTTGAGGAAGCAGGAAATGAAGGAATCAAATAATAATCCTTCTTTTGGAGTAGTTTGTATAACTCTATTGTTTAACTTCGCCCTGAAATTATCGACACTAAATTTTATGAAATAATTTTGAATAAAGACATCTTACGGAAAAAGTAAATGGCCCAGAAGTTTATTTTCTTAAATATAATACTTACAATATGACAAGAAAACATTAATTTAGCAACCCTTCCCCAATTTCTCTATCATTTTAGTATTTGACAATTCAGACCTAACAGGAGGTTGAAATGACTTGCAACGCAGTTCCTCTATAACATGGTGAAGTCGTATCAAATCCCAGGACTTGTAGCTAAATAACACATGGCTTCCTGCCTCTGGTTGGCTGAGAACAATCATTCCATTGGCAGCCTTGCACAGTTGATGTCAAAAACAAGACTGATACAGAAGGTGGTGTCAGCCATCAGCCACGGGACCTGCAGCTACTCCTCGACTGTCCCATCCAGGATGTTTTTAAAGGAGAATGGAGAAAACTTGTACCCAGCCCCGACGTAGAACTTGTTCTGGAACTCCACCCTGTTGTTGGGGGCAAGAAAAGGGGGGTTAAACACCCATCTCTAGGGGGTAGCTAGATCTAGGAAGCATTTATCAAACCAAGTGCAGAGTCAGGAAGGTGTGGGGGGAGGAACGCAGGCTGGTGTTGCCACAGGGATCCTCTGAGGCTTTTATAACCTTCTCTCTTACACCTTCCCCCCGCCCCTCCCAGGCCTCTGCTGGTGGCCTCACAGACCAGCATAGCCATCCCACCCCCAGCACCCTCGCTTTGAACCACTGTCTGACGAGCTAGTGAGCAGAGCGCTCAGCAGGTTACACGTGCTTTTTAATTTTCATCCTGGCCCTAAACTGCAGAACAATCAGAACCTTGGTTTATATTTCTATAACTTACAGAACAGATATCACGCAAGATCATTTATGTTTATAAAGTTGCAGAATGTGCTTCCTAATGATACAGGCAGAAATGATGTTATAACCTTAGGCAGGGGATGCTGTGATTCTCAACTCAGTAGTGAAGCATAAAAACATTTTTTATGAACAGCAGGTAGAGAGGGAGGTGAAAGCTGAAGACAAGCTACATTCCAGACAAATCTGTGAATGTTCAGGGGGCCTTCCCCCTTGCAGGCACCCTCCTTCAATTTCCACTTTCTGAGAATTTGGAAGCTGAACTATGGGTGTTAACTCCTGCACTCGGCAACAAAGGCCAAAGGTCCCAGACTCAGCAGGCCTTCCGTGAGCCCATTTCAGATCTCCCATCGTACCGACATTTGCAGGTATCCCTTATTTTAGAGCCAATTGTAATATAACAAGTGGAAATGTAAAGGAGAAGGAATAAACGAGAACTAGCATTTATCGCAAGGTGGCCATGATATATGCATAATATGTGATATCATTGAATAGTTCACCAACAGGTGCCTAAACTAAGGTTCCAGAAGGGTATGTTAGTTGCTAATGTTACACAACAGGTCAGGGCTTGGACCCAGGTGGCCTGACAGCCCAACTTCCACCCAAGAGCCCACAGAGGTCCTGCAGCCCCGTCGTCCTCACCAGTGCAGCCGCAGGGCGTGCAGGAAAGCAGAGAGCCCCTCCATGATCAGCAGGATGGCTACTGTCAGGACAGCAAACACAGCAAAAATGATAAAGACCCCGATGAGTCCTCCCCAGCCTCGCAGGCGAAGGCCGATGTTCATCACCATGGTCCAGAGCACTTCGGACAGTTCTGCAGGACGCAAGAGCAGCATCACAGGTTTACGTGGCAAATGCAAATTACCCTCAAGAAAGAAGAGCCGGAAAGAACCCAGAGAAGGCACCGGTACAAGCGCATGCGCTGAGCTTTGCACCCTGCTGGTGGCTCACTCACCTGCATGAGCCAGGCTGAGGGCCCAGAGCCGGAGGTAAGAGGCTGTGTTCGAAATGCAGCCCAAGCAGTACTCGATCGTGTGGATGGCCTGATGCACGAATATGTCTCCAAAGTTGAACTGAAAGAGGAAACTCTTTGTTCTATTTCATTAAGTACTTTCCACATACAAAGTAGTATAAATAATATATACACGAATAAGACATGGGCTTTGCTGTTCAGATATTTCCTGGTGAACTAGAGGAAAATAAGTATTACTGTACTTGTAGAAAGAGAATTAGCAGCACAAAGCAGGGTATGGTGTGTGTACAGTAACATGTCCCAGAAGTTGTTGAAAAAGGTTCATGAGATTTGTGCTGGGCCATGAAGGATGGGAAGGCATCCGGAAGTCAAAGAAAAACAAGACCCTTCCTGGTAAAGAAAAGGACTCTAGTAAGGCGGTGGGTGGGAATATCACGGAGGCAAGTTTTGGGGAAAAACAATCTGGCTGGAACTGGGAGCCTGTGTAGGTGACCAGTAAGACCGTGCAGGTGTTGAAGTTGCAGGAAAGACCAATGAAGGACAGAGCTGAGAAAATCCCCCGGAATCACTGAGCAACCATTAAAAGGATCAGAATAGAACATGGCAGGGGAACATAAAGACATATTTGGGGGAAGATTAATCTGGAAGCAAAATGGACCAGTGAAGGGACAGCCTATAAGCAAAAAAGTCGGTTTGTGGAATAGCTTAGTGATCCTGGGTATGAGGGGAGAAGAAACGGGGTGAAGACAGCGATGAGAGCCCACTGTTTCCTCCATGCACTCTGATGCTGGGGGGAAACAGAGTGACTGGTGCCTTCTCTGCCCTCAAGTAGCTCACTGTCTAATAGGGAGAATATGCCAACAGACAGATCCCACACAGCAGTATGGGAAGTGCCCTCATCGAGAATGCAGTGGTATTGTGGGAACTCAGAGAAGGACCCCTTACCCAGAAGGGGCCCTTACCCAGGGTCACACAGGGCTCTGAGATTCTTGAGGCTGAGTAGTGAAAAGAGTTGCATTGACAAAAATGGATAAATTGGAAAAGGAGATGAGCAGTTACTTGTCAGATGTGTCACGTCCCAGGTGACAGCTGCCCGTACAAGTAGAATCTCTGTGGGAGGAGTGACAATGGGAGTGAGGAGGGCTGAGAAGATCAATAAGGAAAAGATCGTAGGAAGAAGAGCTCTCACTCAGCCTTGGGAAACACCTTCGTTCAGAGATAGGAGGAACCACATGGCTGCAGTCAAGGATGGAGAGGTATCGAGGAAGGAATGGGGTGTGGTCAACCATGTCAGTTGCTATAGAGAAAAGACAAAAATCAGTGCCTCTCAATTTGGCAATGAAAACCGCTAGGAGGAACTGAAGGGTGGGGATGAGCAGAGATGGACAGGGTGGGTAGAGAGAGTCAAGGAAAAGGAAGACCGTGTAGTGAAGAATTAACCCCACCCGAAGAGAGGTTCAGCTTCGTCCTGGCCCTTGGAAGGCAACCTCTAAGTCAGCGGTTCTCAACCTGTGGGTCGCAACCCCTTTGGGGGTTGAACGACCCTTTCACAGGGGTCGCCTAAGACCATCGGAAAACACATATATAATTACATATTGTTTTTGTGATTAATCACTATGCTTTAATTATGTTCAATTTGTAACAATGAAAATACATCCTGCATATCAGATATTTACATTACAATTCATAACAGTAGCAAAATTACAGTTATGAAGTAGCAACAAAAATAATTTTATGGTTGGGAGTCACCACAACATGAGCAACTGTAGTAAAGGGTCGCGGCATTAGGAAGGTTGAGAACCACTGCTCTAAGTCCTGTACGTTCACAAGTGAAAGAAATGCTTTTGTTCTTTTTGACACGCGTGTCAGAGGTGACACATGAGCTCATTTTTTTGGTTGCTTTTTCTTTGTTAAATGGCATTTAAAAATATAAAATACATATCAAAAATATAAGTCTTTGTTTTACTATGGTTGCAAATATCAAAACATTTCTATATGTGACACGGCACCAGAGTTAAGTTAGGGTTTTTCAAAATGCTGACACGCCGAGCTCAAAAGGTTCGCCATCACTGCCCTAGGTCAACCATGCCTGCGTAATGAGGCCCCAATAAAACATCGGACAGTGAGGCTCAGGTGAGCGTCCTGGGCTGGCCATCTGCACACCTGTTACCACATGTCAGTGCTGAGAGAATAACGCGTCCCTGAGAACACAGAAGCTGCGCTTGGAGCCCTCCCAGTGGATTCCGCCTGGGTGCCTCTTCCTCTGGCTGGTTCTGATGTGTACGCTTTTGCTACAACAAAACTAAGTACTGCACTTTCCTGAGTTCTATGAGTGGGTTTATAAATGAGTCTGAGGGGACCCTGAACTTGTAACTGGCTAGTCTGAAGGGGAGGGGGGTGGTCCTGGGGAACCCCAAATTTGTGGCTGGTGTCGGAAGTCTTGGGTAGACTTGGCAGTCTGGGCACTGCGTCCTTACCCTTGAGTTCGGTTAACTCTTGGCGAGGAGAGAAGTGGGAGAGGACTTCGAGGGGGAGGCGGAGTCGAGCCTGTGTTCACCTTGCAAAGGGAGACCCAAGCATGACCACGGGGAAGGGAGGAGCCTACCAATGGAGGGGCAGCCGGGTCATGGCAGTGGTGGCCGGTGAACAGGGACTGGATGCATGTCAAGGGCATGAGGAGATCATGGGGGCTGTACTGGATAGGCTGGGCCTGGGGAGTCTGATGCTGTGCGGGTTGGATTCTAAAACATTCCAGCAAGTCTAACAGATGTAGTAATATCAATAAGCCACCAATATGGGTTATTCTCCTTACCTGGAATCTTGTAGGAACAGTTGTTCAAAGTCCAGATTTTTTCCCTCATTAGGTCTCATTGACCATCCATTCATTCAAATGATTATTTTTTCAGTAATTAACATTAGAAATGGAGCTACTCTTAGCATCCATCCGGCCTCACAGGACCCTGTCCCCACTGCAGAATAAGAATAGCGCTCCCGTGATAATCCCCAGCCAGCTCAGGACTGTGGGCCACTCCAGTCCTGGCAGAAAAGCAGTCTGGGAAAACGTGGCACATTCCTGGGGTGGGGAGTGGCTGCCCCAGACGGAAACAGGCAGGAGGGAGGAGGAAACAAAACAATTACTGAATTCACCGGAGAGCAGATAGTATTACGAAGGTTAATGAAGGAGGCTGCGACAGAGCAGGGTTGAGGCAGGAGGTGATGGAGGCTGTGCACACTTGGGTCCAGGAGGGGACTGGGAAAAAAGGATCCACTTTTTGCTTCAGTATCTAGGGCTACATTTGGGCTCTGCTCTCACGGCTTGAGGGGCTCTGATGAGAAAGCTGACTTTCGGGGCCCCGTGATGAGCCAAGGAGGCCTTCGTACCATTGATGGCCTCCGATGTCACTAGATCTGAAGGCTGACGTTCACCTCACGCTCACAGATGCAGCAGCACCCGGGCTAAAAGATTACAATACTCCTAGATGGGTTGGTAAGTAGCAGTTGTTCTGATCCTGTAGGCATCCCCTGCCCTAGGACCTCCCCAGCCTCCTGTGACTCAGCAATTACAGGGCTGCCACCAGCAGGGTCCTCTTGACCCAACCAGCTCTACTGCCCAAGTTCATTCTGATGGACTGGTGCCCACGCCCAGACGGCTCTTCAATACTTGACCACCGCCCCTGACCAGGTCCGCTTCTAGAATCTGTGCAAACTGGGAAGTCTTTCTAGGGTGTTGAGTCCCAAATACCTCTTCTTCGTAGTCCTCTTGGGCCCTGTGGGCATCTGTTCTCCTGGGAGGGTTCGAGTTGTCACCTTCAATGTCTTCAGTAGTGTGTTCTTGAATCATGGATGCCTGCAGCTGTCAGCAAGCAAGGAAATGAAGTGCTCAATTCATCCTTAGAATTAGAATCACAACAATTCCATACAAAATACAGGCTCTCATGAAATATTAGCTACGTCCCAGTCACTGTTCTAAACTCTCTCTACGTTATCTCATTTAGCCATTCACAACAATCTTTTTACATGAGCAGAGTCAACACCCCCTTTCACAGAGAGGTAAACTACAGCTCAGAAAGGTTAACAAATGTGCCCAGGACCCCAGCTGCTAAGGCTGGTTAGCAGCAGAGCCAGGATTCAAACCCAGGCGGGGATTCCAGAGCTTGTGCTTTTCTCCATGGCGCCAGAAGGTGCCAAGTGGGTCAGTCTTTATGGTATACCAACACACACACCAGAGTGCCTTTCTATTTATACACATATACACACCGTCATAAAACCATCAGTGACACCTTTGACATACTTAGCCTTGTGACCGACACATCCAGATTTTTATGGGAAAAATTAGGAAGTAATGACTGCTATGATCTGAAAGTTTGTGTCTCCCTCCAACATTCCTGTTGAAATCCTAACCTCCAAAGATGATAGCTTTAGAAGGTGGGGCCTTTGGAAGGTGACTAGGACATGAGGGTGGAGCCCTCAGGAATGGGATTCGTGCCCTTATAAAAGACACCCCAGAGAGCATCTTCACCCCCTTCCTCTATGTGAGGACGTAATGAGAAGGTGCCTTCTCACCATGAACCAGGAAGGGGCCCTACCCAGAAGGTGAATGTGCTGGAGCCTTGATCTTGGGCTTCCCAGCCTCCAGGACTATAAGCAGTGAATTTCTGCTGTTTGTACGCCACCCAACAGACTAAGACAATCACTTTTCCAACACAAATATACTTTTCTAAATAAAAACATCACTTTATAAAAATAGCTAAGCCCTAACCGGTTTGGCTCAATGGATAGAGCGTCAGCCTGCAGACTAAAAGGTTTATGGTTCAATTCCAGTCAAGGGCATGTACCTTGGTTTCGGGCACATCCCCAGTGGGGGGTGTGCAGGAAGCAGCTGATTGATATTTCTCTCTCATCGATGTTTCTAACTCTCTGTCCCTCTCCCTTCCTCTCTGTAAAAAATCAATAAAATATATATTTTTTTAAATTAAAAAAGAAATAGCTAAGGAAAAAATCCAAGGGGGTGGGGGGAGGGATCAAGGTGTAGTCACCATTCAGTTTGGCCTGGTTTTATCCCTGAGTTTCAATCAGCTATTTCTTCCCAGTCACTGTGAAACTTAATGTCCCATGCTGCCGTAGAATGACTTCACGGGAGGAGTGTTGCAAATTAGGCATGAAAGTATCAGTACCTTTCTTTCTTCAGCAAGTCTGCACCTAATGTTTGCAGGTCCCTGGGCAAAGGTCACAATGGAAGTCCATGTGTTATATGTTTAAATATTGAAACGTTATAAACTAAGCCAACATATTCCTAGTAAAATATGTTCTAGTCTCCTATCTTGAGAAACAAACCCTCTTAAGAACTTGAAAGGCCAGGTTCAAATTCAGAGTCCCAGGAGAGCTGGCCTGCATGATGACACACCACTTTCTCCTCATCTCCGGTCCCCTCCCACAGCGGGAGGGCCGGTGTGCACGTGTGGATACTGCCCCCACACTGTCCATGCTCACCTACACTCTCCACGCCAGGAGCTAGCTGTGCCAGTGCTGTGGCTGGACCTTTGTAGAGCCCAAAAATGGGCTTGAGTCCGTCTGGATGGGAATGCCAGGGACCAGGTGCCGACAGGGGGCCCTGGGTTCATGGTTCCCTGCCCTATGGCGAGGAATGTGACTTAAGATAACATTACTTTGTCTTCTTCAAATCCTATTTTCTCTCTCCGTCAACTGAAGGGAGAAAATATCACAGAAAAAATAAAAGATAGTTTCTCCACTTTCATCCCTAACTCAGCCTTTTCTAGTCCTATGCTGGAATTAGTTAAAATAAACATGAGTAACTTGGTAAAAGCATGATACTGGAGCTTGTGAATGTTAGTGACTCTTCTCCCCAGTCAAAACAGACTTTGTAGTCAGTCCCTTTAGCTAACATCTCATGCTGTTTGACCTAGGTGCTGTCTGAAATAAAATAATCAATTTTAAATTAGTTACTCGCAACTCTCTAAAACACATGTGCCAAAGCACATGCACAGGAAGTTATAGAACACTATTTGTAATTACCAAACTTGGAAACAAGCCAAATAACTATCAGCATCTAAATGGTAACTAAATTGTGGTATATTCATGCAAAGGAGTATTTTATATCACACACACACACACACACACACACACACACACACACACAAAAGCAAAGTTTGCAAGACATAAGGCCTGCTTGGCCTTAATAGAACATTATTCTGGAAAAGTCAAACTCTATAGAAAGAGAACATATCTGGGGAAGTCCAGTTACCTACCTCGCCACTGTCTTTCAGGTCTGGTCCACCCAGCATGCTCTCTCAACCCCAGACTCTCTCAACCACAGTGAGTGAACTGAAAGGAATGACTCTTACCTGGGATTTCCGATGATTGGCTCTAAGAATAAATGGCTTAATCAGAAGCATCCACGGTACAGAAATCAAAGCCATAACAACAAAGAAACTTTGGACTTCTTGCTGCAAGACCAGAATGGTAAGATCCTATCACTTTAAGGTGATCACACAGCATACTTTGTATGATAAAAATGCTAAGTGTGCGTCATTTCAGTTGCATTTTATTTTATTTTTTAATATTTTTATTGATTTCAGAGAGGAAAGGAGAGGGAGAGATAGAAACATCAATGATAAGAGAGAATTATCAATTGGCTGCCTCCTGCACGCCTTCTACTGGTGATGGAGTCCATGACCTGGGCATGTGCCCTGACCGGAAATTGAACCCTGACCTCCTGGTTCATAGGTCAACTCAACCACTGAGCCATGCCAGCCAGGCCTATTTGTCCATTTTAAACCAGGCTTCCCCCCTCATGTTGTACAAGCAACTGGAGATTTTTATTATCTGTTGCTCTTCTTCAATAGTCAAGCACGACAGTAAGACACCCAGGACAGTGATGGGAAGAGGCTGTATTTATCAACCTACATTGTCTCTCCCAGCTGCTTGACCCAAAAATGAGGTTATAGAAACTTCAAACTGTGTCAAGATAATTCATCTTCATACTAGGGCTTGGGGAAACCAGACAACCCCAACGATGTTTTTAATGAGAAAAAAAACTGGAAAAGCCATGCTCACTGCATATTCCAGACTAAGTGAGGGCTTCTGTCTTCATGAAAAGGGCTATTAGCACGCGAACTGTTTGATGAATTTCAGTCCTTTGCCTAAAAGTGAAGACTTGCTTGGGAAATCCAAGTAAATTTTCATCTAGACTCAGGCAATGAGTAAATTAACCTTCCAAATACATTCATTTAATGCTAACAGCTAAGGTGGTTCAAGGTTACCATTGACGTATAACAAAAAGATAGGGTACCACCAGGGAACTTCCAGAGGTGTAAGTCTTCTCTGGTTATTATTGAAAATAGTCTCTTATTTTTTCATTAAAAAAAAAATAGCCCCATCACAGGGCATTTTTTCCTTCTTATTTGCTGCTTCTGAAGGGAAGGAGAATACAAGTAGGAATCAAACTCATGAGGACATGCAGGGCGATGGGAGGAGCCCGACTTTCGCCAGGGCACCAGCATGAACACTCACTGCTGGGACAGGTGCACTGCAGGGTCCTCTGGCATTGGGAAATTCACCCAAGAACTTGACCCCGAGGAATCACGACCTATATACGTGGGCCTTCCTTTATTAAAAACCCGACCTTCAAGCAATATTATCAGGTTAATCGCTGGGAGAGGCCAGGGGAAGAGAACTATCTGTGCTACCAAAGAATGACTCACTGAGTGCTATTTATATCCAGCTCCCATGGAACATTTATACTGTTTAAAAATAAAATATCAAGTAGAGAGTGAAGCTGAAATAAATGGAAGCAATCAGAGTGGCAAAAAGTCTGACTGTTGGGCGGTGCTGTCCACAGAGGAAGAGCCCAGAGGAAAACAAGAGATAAAAACTCAACGAGCCAGCGGAAGCCCCCAGAAGAGCCTGACATGTGAACAGAGGGACTCCTCTTCCTGGTCCCATTTCCATTTTCTTTCTTGTAAACCTTAGCTAGAGTTTATTTTTATTTTATTTTTTAAAATATATTTTTATTAATTTCAGAGAGGAAGGGAGGAAAGAGAGATAGAAACATCAATGATGAGAGAGAATCATTGATCAGCTGCCACCTGCATGCCCTCCACTGGGGATGGAGCCTGCAACCCGGGCATGTGCCCTTGACTGGAATCAAACCCAAGACCCTTCAGTCTGCAGGCCAACGCTCTAGCCACTGAGCCAAACTGCTTAGGGCAAGATAGCTCAGTCTTGCAAATAACTAGTCTCTGTGGTACTCAAGAGTATGAGAGAGATCTACCATAAGTAGGTGCATAAAAGAAGAAAAATCCCATAATACCTGATGTTTGTACAGGGGTGCATTCGAGGGGTCGTTATAGTTAAACATAAACATGTTGATGAAGTGGATGAGGATGCTGGGGGCCTTCTGGGACACGTGGACATCGTAGTAGCACCATTTGAAAATGATCATGAAAACCAGGTATCCAAACAGGCACAGCATAAAAATCATCTCCGGAATAAATTGCAGAAGGATGTTGAGCATTTTTCTGAAGTATCTGGGGTTGGACACACACACACACACACACACACACACACACACAAAGACAGAACATTGAGAAAAAATATCAGTAACTAGTTATTCTTCCCAAAGCATAAAATGTTAACTGCATTCATTCCCCTGGGAAGCAGCAATCATGCACGGATGGAAAGGAAAGTGCTTTTGCACAAAAGATTTGGAGAGAACCAAAGTCTAGAGGTTACGTCTGAAGCAAAGACTGAGCCCACACAGTCAGTTGGCGATTTGGCCAAAGCTTCAAATGCAGGCCCAGCTCATATCAACACAATGAAAACACACGGGTATATAGGGGTGCCTTGAGAGCTTTCCTCTTAAGATAGGGGGGCAAAGTAGGGCCCTTGGGTTTTTATAGCCTGCAAGTTAAAAATGGTTTTCATATTTGAAAATGGCGGGGGGGTGGGGGGGACAGGACTAAAAAGAATACTATTTATGATACATGATACTTACACAAAATTCAAATTTCAGCATTCATACATCAAGTTTTATTGGAACGGTCACACTCACCCCCCTACATATTTGTATTGTCAACGGCAGTTTTCACGTTACCATCTGACCTCAAAAGTCTAAAAGATTTACTATCTGTCCCTTTGCAGAGAATGCATGCCAACTCCAGCTCTAAGGCCTTGGGTTGCACAGAAAAAGTTGGGGGCACCCAAGTGAAAAATATTCGAAAGAGCCCCATACCATGCTTTGTTAAATGGCAAGAACTAGAAAAGGAGATCCATGGGAAAAAAAAGGATTATCAGAGATACGTGAGGCCAGCCTGACACTCAATGATGCCAAATAAGGTCTAGGCAGAAAGTGCCGTCTGGGATTCTGTCTCACCGAATCCGCATAGAACTTCCAGGCAGGCAGGAGCACCAGGGTGCTCGTCATTGGTTTGCACACCAAGTACTTCCAATATTTCAGTAGAACTGTACTTCTTCGGCCTTTCAGATCAGGGGTCACTGTGTGACTGGCTCTGGCCAATGAAATGGGAACAGAAGTGGCAGGTGTCACTTTGGGGTGGAAATTTAAGCTTCAATGGTAATTGACCAGTCTCCTTCCACCATGGCGACTGGCAGTGCACCACTGGTAGCTGCCTGTCAGCCCAGGTCCCAGTGTGAAGACAACAGGCACAGAGCCCCCGGTGGTCCTACAGTGGGCATGTCATGGTCTGTAGCTTAGCAACTGAGATTTGGGGGTTATTTGTTACCTCCAATAACCTAACTCATTCTGACTACTATATTCTCATTCTATAAAAGAAAGCAAGCTCAGAGATGTTAAGCAACATGTCCATGGACACACAGATATGAAAAATTGGAAGCAGTACTTAAGCTTCTGATTCCAAACCCTGTATCATGTGTGTGGCCTCATGCTGCCCTCACTCTTAAACTACATGGCAGCAACTCCTACCAGCTGCCAGGTCCACACAGGGCAACTCTGAACAGGCACTGTGGACGCTGGCTTCAAAGATTTACACCTGCAGCGGAAGCAGGTTGGAGAAGCTTTACAGAGATGGTTCTTGATCAAAGGAAAGGAATAGGCAGAACATTAACAGCCAAAGAAGGGAGAGGGTGCTGCCGACAGGAAGAAATGACACCAAAGGGAATTTAGAATTTGAGGGCGCTTTGGCAAAAGGCACTGTGTCCCCACTGGTGGGAGCTGGTGGGAGCTAAGCCTTGATATACAGGAACAAGCCTTTCAGGTTGGGGGGACACCAGGTGCTGCGGGCTTGCCAGCCTCATTCTGAACCCGCATGAAAATATTACTCACCTTTGAGAAGTTCAGCTGAGAAACAGAGGGCCCATTTCCAGGCACCAGCTTGTCCTGGCTCACGCCAAGAGACACGGGGAAGGAACCTCACACAGAGGGACACGGGGCACAACCGGTGTCCCTGTCACCGCTCATCGTCAATGGGGTCAGACCAACAGGCAGAAAGAGAATCCTGAAACTCACATGTGGTTGAAAAGGCTGAGAATGACGCCAAAAGTCATCTGGACGATTCCCAGGATCACCGACATCTTCATTTTATAGGAGTTCAAGAACGTTAGCTTGTTGGAAGCCAAGTTCCAAATCTGGGTGGGAAACGTGAAGACATGCTTGAGGCCAGAATGTGGACATCCTACCAGGGTTGGGGACAACCGCACAATTTCCCCTGAGAAGTTGCTCTGGGATCCAGTCTCTAATTTCAGTCCAGTCCCACTCAGGCATTTTAGGTTCGAAAAGGACCAAGCCCCTTACAAATGCAACTCTGATGACAAAAGTGTCCGAACCATTAGTGCCAGTAAAATATCAAGTGGCTGGAAGGAAACTGGAGGGGTGGGTCCTACATGATTTTTCCCTGATCTAAATGAAAATAAATCATTAAATATTATGGAGATCCCAAACTTGCCTCGGTTCCCTTAATAAAAGTGTAGATCTCTGGCCCATGAACTTATCCAATCCCTTCTTTAAAAAAAATTTTTTTTCACAAAGGAAGGGAGAGGGAGAGATAGAAACATCAATGCTGAGAATCATTAATTAGCTGTTTCCTGCACACCACACACTGGGGATGGAGCCCGCAACCCAGGCATGTGCCCTGACCGGGAATCAAGTCATGACCTCCTGGTTCATAAGTCGATGCTCAACCACTGAGCCACACCAGCTGGGCTATCCAATCCCTTCTTAATAATAAATAACATGTCTGACTTTGAAAGTCTGTAGTGCTTCACATTATAAGGCATCTTCCAGGCCCTTCTCAAGAAGTCACTGTTGTAGCCTGTTTATTAGCACTGTAGGTAAGGCATGGTCCCTGCCTTCTCTGAAGTTCCTGTTTGTCAACTTGCAAAGTGATGGGCATGTGTATCTGCCCGCCCCCAGGAGAACAACTCAGACAGAAAGTGCCCCCAGTGGTCAGGGTCTCATGCTGATTAGTGACCAGTAACCAACGTTCATCTTCCCCACAGAAATCTTAAACTCCCTGTAGTTTCCAATCCCCACCCTCAGGCAAATGACCCAAGTCCTCTCCACTACCTCTGACACCTCTCCAACTTCAGGCACATCCCCAAGGGCCTGCCAGACACATCTTGAGGGCTTGTCATACTGCATCTCAAAGGTAACGAAGCCACAAACTTCTCTTTCCTCCTTCAGTAACTCAGGGTCAGCATTCACCTAGGCACAGTCTCAATGCATAGTCACCTGCCCTCTCCCCCATGCACACACGGGGCAGGGACCACATCTCACTGCTTCTTTACAATGTCCTGAGTGGCTCCCAGCTGGACAATCACTAAGGAGGTCACTGGAAAGGTGAGAGAAGGGACACCAGTGACGGTGCCCACACACCAGAGCCTCCCCGCCTCCCTGTGTGCCTCGACCTCTAAGCTGCACCAGACTTGCCCTCCACGGTCTGCTCCTCCTTTGCCCACCTGGTTAGCCAACCCCACAGGATCCCTCCGCTTCGTGAGGGCAGGGTAACTAGCATGCTGCAGAGCCAGCCAAACCTGATAAACCAGCCACGCTCATCGGTCACACATCAAGCTCCTTAAATGTGTTTACCCTCTTTAATTCTAACAAAAATCCCATGAGATAGAGACATTTGTCCTCCCTTCGCTTTGGTTTCAGTTGTCCGTGGTCAACTGTGGTCTGAAAATATTAAATGGAAAATTCCAGAAATAAACAATTCATAAGTTTTAAATCGTGTGCCATTCTGAGAAGTATGATGAGATCTCACACTGTCCCTTTCCATCCCACCTGAGTCACGAGCCATTACGTTGTCCAGCGTCTCCGCACTGTACATGCTTCCTGCCCATTAGTTACTGAGTAGCCTTAGCTAGCGGATCAATGCTAACATCGTATTGATACTAACAGTGCTTGTGTTCAAGTCACCCTTATGTTACTTAATAATAACCCCGAGGTGACGCTGGCAATTCAGATATGCCAAAGAGAACTTATGAGGTGCTTCCTTAAAGTAAAAAAGTAAGCACAGTATAACAAGATATTTTGAGATAGAGACCATATTCATATAACTTTTATTTCAGTATATTGTTATAATTGTTCTATTTTATTATTGTTAATCTCTTACTATGTCTTATTCGTAAATTTTCTTTATCATAGGTATGTATGTACAGGAAAAATCATAGTGTACACACATGGAGTCAGTACTATCCACGGACTCAGGCATCCACTGGGGGTCTTGGGACATGTCCCCATGAATAAGGGAGGACAACTCTACAAGGATTCCCAATTTACATGTGAGGGAATTTATCTTAATTTCGAGGAAACTGAGTTACTTAAACACCTAGGAAGAAATAATACAATAGCAAATGGAGCATTTACCCCATTTATGCACTAAACTCTTTCTAGGTATTTTACGTGTGAAAATCACTTAATCTTCTTGTTACAGGAGAAAAACATGTCTTGTCTTCCCCCATTGTTAGTGGGAGTGGACTTCTTGGGGTTCCACTGGAATAAGCATTTCCAGAGGCCCCCACAGGAGGAGGCGATGGAGTAGAAAGCTTTATTTCCATGGGATTACGCTCCTGGGTTTCCAAAGTCCCATTTCCCCTAGTCGAGCTATAGAAGAAATGTAGCTGGGGTGTCAGTAGAGCTCAAATCAGAGCCAATGTCCAGAGTTTCAGGCCAGGAACTAAACACAGGCTGCCTGATTCCATCACCACTGTTATGTTCACTTCTTATAAAATATTCACAGACACCATAGAAAGACCACACAGCTCCGATAGCCAAGTGTTTCGTGATTTGATTCAAAATAGATGATGCATTCAGTCAATAAATGCAGCTGTAGAGGTTTACATTATGCAAACATCAAACCCGTCATTCATGTATGTAAGTGCTAACATAGGCACAGAGATGTTCTGTTTAACAGGTTGTCTCTGGGACTAGGACGGCAGGAACCGGAGAGGCGGGAAAGACAAGTCTTTCTTTTCATTTTTACAGTATTTTGTGTTATATGGATTCTTAATCATACATATTATTATTTTATGATCAAAAGACCATAAATTTTAAAAAAATCTAAATGCGACCTGGAGGATTATTTTCAACTCTCCACCTGCTCTTTCACCCTCACATTTTCCTTTCTTTTTTGACTGGTGGACAGGTGACAGAAACTGCACACAGAGCAGGAACTCTGGAAGCTCAGTTCTGAGATGTGAGTTATACCACCCTCCCTTCGTGGGGAGCAGCCCTGGACCATCTAATGCGGGCTGTGAGGGGAAGAGAGAGGACAGTGGGAGCAACATGATTCAAAGCAAGGCCAATCAGACCCTAAAACCACCCCCTTGGGACTCCCCCATCTGCTTGCTAATGAGGAAACTCCTAGGACCAGAGATAAAGCCTTCCCGTCTATAAAAATAATAACTTGCATATCTTTTTAGCACTTTGCAGCTTGCAAACCAGCTTTCAAGGACTTTACCTCTTTTGCTAAAACTTGGAATGCAAGTGCCCCTGGGAAGCAAGCATCAACACACCCTGGGTAATGCTTTCTTTTTTAAAAAATATATTTTTATTTATTTCATAGAGGAGGGGAGGAGTAATAACATCAGTGATGAGAGAGAATCATTGACTGGCTGTTTCCTGCACGCCCTCTACTGGGGATTGAGCCCACAACCCGGGTATGTGCCCTTGACCAGAATCAAACCCGGGACCCTTCAGTCTACAGGTCGATGCTCTATCCACTGAGCCAAACCAGGTACGGCCTGGGTAATGTTTTCTGGGTTATTTTTGTTTTTTTTAAATTTTCACCAGAGGATATTTTTTTCATTTTAGAGTAGCGGTTCTTAACCTGTGGGTTGCGACCCTTTGGGGGTCGAATGACCCTTTCACAGGGGTCACCTAAGACCATCGGAAAACACATATATAATTACATATTGTTTTTGTGATTAATCACTATGCTTTAATTATGTTCAATTTACAACAATGAAAAGACATCCTGCATATCAGATATTTACATTACAATTCATAACAGTAGCAAAATTAGTTATGAAGTAGCAATGAAAATAATTTTATGGTTGGGGGTCACCAAAACATGAGAAACTGTATTAAAGGGTTGAGGCATTAGGAAGGTTGAGAACCACCGTTTTAGAGAGCGTATTAGGGGGGTCAGGGGGGTGGGGAGGGAGAGAGAAACCTCACTGTGAGAAAGACACATCAACTGGTTGCCTCCTGCATGTGCCCCAACCAGGGCCAGAGCCTACAACTGAGGCATGTGCCCTTGACTGGAACCAAACTACCCACTGAGCCAACAGAAAAGCTAGGGCACTTTCTGTTTTTATAAGGGAGGGGAGGAGGGCAGGCAGTGGGAAGATCCAGGAAAACAAGAGGAGAGAGATGACCCACAAGATAGGAGAGACCACACAACCAACGTTAGGGCCAGTGCTGTTCTCTCTTAACTGTCAGCAACTAAACCTGAGCTTTTGGGTTCTCTGTCACAAAAAGAGCTTATAAGATACACTTCTGGACTGCGTCTGCCAAGTTCAGGTCTAGACCACCCATGCTCATTTGGAGCACAAGGCTGCCACCTAGTGGCGATCTGCGCTGGGCCACTATCTGTGGGTGTCTTCTGGAAAACCCCTTCATATCCAGTGTGCAGAATCACTTTCACTTTGCTCAGCTCAAATCCAATTGAGATAGATATAACAAACAAAACCTGACAATCTCTTTTTCCACTCGTATCAATTCTAGGCAGTAAAATTAAACAAAAAATAAAAGCAAATCCATATGTTTCTAGGAAAAAAAATGTTACTCCACTGCAAGAAAATGCCCAAGTAGGAAACTTGATTAGGATGCTAAATTGATGATCTAATATGCATACTTCCCAGGAACCCAGGGCTTTTTAAAAGAAGCAATCATTGCCCAGCCGGCGTGGCTCAGTGGTTGAGCGTCGACCTATGAACCAGGAGGTCAGGGTTGATTCCCAGTCAGGGCACATGCCCAGGTTGTGGGCTCAATCCCTAGCAGGGGGTGCACAGGAGGCAACTGATCAGTGATTCTCTCTCATCACTGATATTTCTCTCTCTCTCCCTCTCCTTTCCTCTCTGAAATCAATAAAAAAAAAAGTCTTTTTAAAAAAGAAGCAGTCATTAACCGCCAAGGCATAAGTGATGGAGAACGAGGCAGATGTTTGGGGAATTGTATGGAAAATGACCCAGGGGCTGGGTAAAGGATGCAGGCAGAACACTTACTTGAAGTCAGCGCAGTGTGTCACAAAAACCTCCCGTCCATGTAATTCTATCTCAACACAAGTTGGTTGATTTGATAGGTTCTGGCACTTCTTCTCCCCCACCCCCCACTCCCCCCGATTTCTCCTCAGCCAGTCATTTAACCATTTAATAACTATTTAAGCCCAGAGGACGTTGTTACCGGATCAATCCCGAATGGGTATGGGTTCCCAGAGTACACGCCTGGAATGGCGGGGTTCAGCTGTAAAAGTGGATTTGTCTCCATCGTTTCCATGCTACAGAGGGAGAAAGGCAAAAACAAAAACAAAGCCAGTGAGTGACCAAAGGCAGGAAAAAGTACTAGGGTGCCGTCTGTCGAGCCAATCACAGCTAACTGCTGGTGCAACGCATCAGTTCGGCTCATTTGGTTATTCCATGAATGGTACTGAATCCCCACTGTGTGCCAAGTACTGTCCTGTGGCCTGAGCAACAGAAATGACCCGCCAACCCCCAAGGAATATATAGTCTAAGCTTTCAAAGCGCTCCAGCTTGGTGGGGTACATATAGTAAAAAAAATATATACACTGAGTGGCCAGATTATTATGACCACCTGATTTGTTTATAGGCAAATTAGCCGTACACTGCATCGTACGGGATATGGAAGCCGAAGGCCTGTTCGAACACCTTTGCTGTTTGCAGTTACCAAGATAAAACGTCTTCAATTCGCACAGAAACACAAGGATTGGACAGTCGAGCATTGGAAAAGAGCCATGTGATCCGATGAATCTCATTTCCAGTTGCATCTTTCCGTTGTGTTAATTATGAAAGATACATTAATACATAAGTTTATAGTAAAATGCCCAATCAGTTTTCATTAAAAAAACTAAGAAGGCACAGGATATATATGGATGGGTGGCTCAAATATGTAATTGCCTTTTCTGCCCTTCAGATATTTAATGAAAAAGAAAAATTTCTACCAAAAACCCCACTAAAATATAATAAATCTATAAAAAATCATTTTGAAGGTCTATGAGCAATTAAAATGTTTTTAAAAGACATTAAAACAATGGCTTTAACTTGTTAGGCCTATACTTTTGAAAAATTAGTACACATACATGGAGATCTATATATATATCCCCCGTTCAAAGGCTGTTAAATTGCGTTGTTTACCCATATCTTCAGAAAAAAAATCACTTCTACTGTCGTGGTAAACAGCCTACTTCCCTATTTATAATGGTCTGGCCCTCTAGCAACTTCAGCGTGAAATTATAGCTAATTTGCCTACAAACGTCAGGTGGTCATAATAATCTGGCCATTCGGTGTATATTCTACATCAGAAAAAAGGTAGGGGTAGGGATGAAGGAGTCTACAGAAATAGATCCCTGGCCACCCTAGACATACACAGTCCTAACAACACGCCTCAGGGCAAGGGGTTAGATTTCAGTAGCAGAAGCGTGTTTGTGTGTCCACAAACCAGAAAGCCACCCCTGACGAGAGAGAACTGGCCGGGTACCCACAGCTAAGCCTGCTGTTGAACATAAACAATTTCACAGAACACCAACATCAGACAAGGCCATTCTGTGACCGTGATGGATCCAGACAAAAGCAAGACCATTCCACAACCATATCTGATATCAGAGTATGGACATAGCAACAGAAGGACGTTGTCCAAATCACAAAAATGACCAGAGATAACCTTTATCCTCTTAGAGGCCAAGTCCTGTAAGTCAGTCCTTTCTTCTTTTTTAAAAAAATATATTTTTATTGATTTCAGAGAGGAAGGGAGAGGTAGAAATATCAATGATGAGAGAGAACCACTGATTGGCTGTCTCATGCTGTGGATCGAGCCCTCAACCCAGACATGTGCCCTGACCGGGAATCGAACTGTGAATTCCTGGTTCATGGGTTGACACTCAACCACTGAGCCACACCAGCCGGGCAGTTGAGCTAAAGTTTTAAAAACTATTTCCATGTGTTACAGTTACCAGCACAGTTACTGAGGAAGTGGCACAAGTTCTCATGCTCAGTTGAGAAAATGGCATTATTTGTTGAATTTGTGGGTACACCTCTGGGTCGAGCCAGGCGTAGATTTGCTCAGCCATAGGTGGCCAGGGAAAACCCATCCCTGTCTGTGAACTTACTTCCATGTGCCATTTCTGAACATGGGTCGGACGCTCCAAGAAGAGCCGAAGATGTTGAAAGCCTTGGAGAAGCAGTCGTTGTAAATGAAGCCCGTGTAAATGGAGAAGATGCCCATGAGGAGGATGAGGTAGCGCCCCTGGAAGAAGGTGTTCCAGATCTGGCCTCGGGGAGACAGAGAGGACTGTCAGTGAGCTCTGAGCCAGTGTGTGATCAGGTCTCTCCACAGCAAGGCACGCAGGCCCTATACAGAGGGGCTACGCGATGAGGCAGGCACCGAAGTGGCCCAGAGAGCAAGAGCACACACATGATTTTCCTGAGCTTCTACAGGTGACTCTGAAAAGTCCCAGACTGGCCGTTGCTATTGTGGAAACAAGCATAGAGGCCTCATATGCTTGAATTCAGCCTTGGTTAGAAAAATGTGATTAAAGCAGAAACTGAGGCCTCACCTGTGGAAAGGGGGACTTGAAAGTGGGTGGCTGTGTCTCCAGCACTTCCAGGAGGTAAGCACTGAGCTGGCTGCTAAATTTTACTGCAAGTCAAATCTATACTCCTTTTTGGGGGGATTGAGAGGGGTCCTCCATTAAAAGTTGAGTTTCTAAGTACATCCACTAAGAAGAGAAAGTGCTTTCTCCCGATACTGCAGGATGTGCACCAACCATCAGAACCGCTGAGTGGGACTTGCAGATTTCAAATATTTATTACAGGAAACTACATCTGTTAAAATGCTTGTCATGAGCCCTGGCCAGGCTGCTCAGTTGGTTAGAGCTTCATCCCGAAATAACAAGGTTGTGGGTTCAACCCCAGGTCAGGGCATGTACAAGAATCAACGAATAAGTGTACAACAAATCAATGTTTCTTTCACTCTTCCTCTCTCTCCTTTCCTTTCTCTCTAAATAAAATGCTTGTCATGAAAACTGTATTGGCCATAGGTAGATTTGTCACTAACCTTGCTTATGATTAACTCACTCTGACATCACTGAACTAGCTCTAGTTAAGTCAACCTGTAAAAAATAGATTGCAGATAAAATTCAGAACATAGCTAAAGGCATGTTTGTACTTTGTAAAATGCAATATCAGCGGCCACAAAGTGACGTCAACTTTGAAACAATGCAACTCTTGAGTTGTTTCAACCTTCACATCGCTCTGTGAGGGAACTTCATGGAAGGTACAGAACTTCAAATGTGAAAGTGAAGACATGGTGTTCGGGATGCCTGTGTTTCAGAAGAACACTGAGTGTGGGCTTGTGGGGAAAGGGCTCTGCCATAAAAAATTATTTGTGCTATTTTAAGTGAAAAAAAGGAGGCTACAAATTAATATGCACTATTTGATCCCAATTTCTAAAATTATATATTTTTGTCTAAGCACAGAAAGGAAACTAGAAAGGTAATACAGAAACACTCATTGTAATTTTTTTCTAAATAGATGGCTATATTTTCCCAAATTTTACAATGAACATATATTGCTTTTATAATCAAAGAAAAAAAATCAATATTAGCAAAAAAGGAGGGGAAAAAAAGGAAAGATCAATGCCTTCACAAGCAATGTACAAAAAAACAAAAATGCTAAAAGGAACTGCACCAAACCATCCAAAGGACTGTGGACAAAAAGGGGCCACATGCTAACCTGACAAGCTCAGGGAAGGCCTAGTGTTTATGTTGAGTTTTGGCTTTTTTTCTTTTTTAAAAAATATATTTTATTGATTTTTTACAGAGAGGAAGGGAGAGAGATAGAGAGTTAGAAACATCGATGAGAGAGAAACATCGATCAGCTGCCTCCTGCACACCCCCTACTGGAGATGTGCCCGCAACCCAGGTACATGCCCTTGACCAGAATCGAACCTGGGACCTTTCAGTCCGCAGGCTGACGCTCTATCCACTGAGCCAAACCGGTTACGGCTTGGTTCTTTTTCACTTTCCATTTTTTCCCCTTCTCATAAGAACATGCTATTCCTATGGAAAAAAACAACAATCACACTTTAAGAACATTTGAGGAAATGAGGGGAGACATCTGATGGACGCCCACCTCATTGTCTGTCTTCTGGGCGAGGAAACGTCTCTCATTACGGATCATCCAAAGGGCAGCCAGGAGCATCACGGTTCCGTGACCACAGTCTCCAAACATCACGGCAAACAGGAAGGGGAAAGTGATGATGGTGTAGGGAGCTGCAGAGGTGAGAACCACAACAGCCTGAGTCTCCCAACAGTCCTGTGGGCTCCCCGACTATTGGTCTATCAGGCTCCTTGTGATAAGCCGGCTCCCTTGTGCCTTTCTGATTCTGTCAGCTCTCAGTATTCGCACCCCTGACACTTGCTTGACTCCCACATACATGAGCTCATCAGTGGATAAACACTATTATTCTCCACTTTACAGATGAGCTGAGTTTGGGAGTGGTTAAGTGACTTGCCCAAGATCACAAAATTTAATGGGATTTAAAATCCGTTTTCTACGTGCTTTCTATGCTCTTTCCACTACCATCTTCTGCTTCTTTCTCCACCATTCACATGTACCACAGCCCTCCAGCAGTTACTCACCTATGGGGCCCTGCATTATGGGTCACAAATTAGATTGGGACCCAGGCTGGACAAGAACAGCATCGTCCACTGCTTGGCCAATAGGCATCTGGTCTACCCCTTTATTTTACAAACCAGGCCACCAACATCACAGTTTACGTCACTAGGAATCCAGGCTTCTGACTCCAAGTTCTGTGTGTTCCCATCTCTCCCACACAACTATGAGATTGTGGGGATGCCTAGAGATGACCCTCATTGAACTGTTAAACAAACAAGAACCGAATCTGGCTGCCTGATAAGGCTACAGTTTAAGGGAGAACAGGTGAAATCTTGATAAGGAACAAATCTTTCACTAATCACCTTTACAGAAGACAATGCAGAGCATTCAAAAAAAAAATAAAAAAACAAATACGATTTTAGGAAAGTCACAGTTTAAAGTAATTCACCTCCTAGGTTGCCACCTTGGGGGTGAATCTTACCCAATTTTCATTTTCAAGCTGCTCAGGCATGTAACATATCAGACACCTTACCTGGGTTTATCTCCCGGTAATTGCCCACACCATATGCATCTACAATATTCTGGAAGCCAGCAGTGAATTTATTGGTCCTGTTAAACGTGGGAGGAGCGGTTTTAGATTGCACTGCTGTCAAGATAGGGGCCATGGAGGAGCCGCTTAGTTCCTGCAGAAAGAACACGTGACAAAAATGTAAGGAGGAGCGCCTTGGCTGGGTACCGGCACGTGGATCACAGGGCAGCTCTTGCCATCACGTACTGGGCGAACGTGGGATACTCTTGACGTCTCTGAGACTCACAATCTCTCCCATGGAAGTGAAAACCTTCCTAATACTCATCTAACCTATCGGACAGGAGAGCTGTCAGAGAGAATTCCTCCTGCTCCCCTGGCGATCTGCAGTCTCCTGCTCCTGAAATGCATGTTTACGCCTCCGTTCTGGGGCTGGCTCTCCTCTCCCTTTCTCTCTACTTACGCCCCCAAGAGCTCATCCACTTGCCGAATTTTGTTTCAATCTTTCCAATGGCCTTGACTCTCTTGAAAATTTCGATTCTTTTTTCATTGCCTGCCTAGGCTTTCAAACTCTCCTGTCTCAGCAACCCCACATAATCCAGGAGCCTAGAACTGGACTCATCAGCTTGCCCTAAAGCCAGGCTGTTCCTTCGACAGTCTCCACTCTCCAAATTCTTGAAACTTTGAAATCCGCAGACTTTCCCCTTCTCCTGATTTAATCACCAATCTCCAGATCTTGCTAATTGTCCCTTTCCAATCCCTCTCCCTCCCATTCCCACAGCCACCAGCCAAGCCCCAGCCTCCCCATCCTCCTCCATCTCTTGCCCTCCCATTTATGTTACACTCCAGACTGCATAATCCTTCTTTTAATAAAACAAAACAAACAAAACGCACTACTTTAGTCATATTACCTTCCTGCTCAAAAATCCTCAAAGGCTTCCTCTTACCTAAAGAATGAAGCCAGAACTCTTTAGCCTTGTAATCAAGACTTCTTTACATAGCTGACTAATCCTCCATTCACACCTTCCCCCCACTGCTTCTCTGTGGAAATCACCCAACTCCACAGTAGCCACCTCCCTTGTTCACTTTCCCAAGTGGGACCACTCCAAGCTCATCCCCCAGGAACCTTTTGGTCACTCCTAACCCAACAGCACTCACCACCTGCACACCCAGGGGGGATTAGCACCAGCGAAGTGAGTGCTCGTCAGTCCTCCTAACAATACCCCACTTTGGAGATGAGGACAAGAAGGTAGATCGAGGTTAAGTAACTTTCCCAAGCTTACATGCAAGTAGAGGAGTTCCTTACTCTATGATGATATATGTTTTCATCTGTGGGATTATGACCTCTTTGAGGTCAAGGACTGTGGCTTCCTCCTTTTTTTCTAACATGTCCTCCAGCAGCGGACATAGTATTAGCGTAGCCTAAGTATTTTTTGCTCATTGGTGATAATGATAGCTATCCTCCTACACTTGTCTCCTCACCTCCTACCAGCATAGAGCCTTCTACTCCTATCTGGGGAAATACTTTGATTATTTCAGAGGATGGAGAAACTGTAGAAATAGCCATAAGGAGCCTTGTAGAAGTCTGACCCCTTTGTGATTACAGAGCAACATTGTTCAGTGAAATCCTTGCATTAGGACAACTCCTCCCCAAAGGCTTGGCTGTCTTCTCCACACTACAGCCACGTGCTTCTAAAATGAAACCTGGATCATGTCACCCAGCACAGGAATAAGATCAGCTCCCTTACACCGCCATGAGGTCCTTCAGGAACTGCCCTGCAGCCTCTCCCTGACCTTCTTCCCATTCCTTCAGCTGCTGCACCCTCTCTCCAGCCACTGGTCTGCAGGTGGGCCTGCACCGCACACTCCTCCCACCTCTCTTCTGACCACGCTTCCACAGTCCAGCTCATGCATCACTTCCTCCAGGGAGCCCCCTGCCCTTCCCAGCCTGGGTGAAACCCTCTTTGTAAGTGCCCCATGTGGGGAGTTATTGGACCATCATGTGAGGACATTCAAATCCTGCCTCCTGGCTATAGGATCACAGCCAAGTTACTTCCACTCTCTATGCCTCAGTTTTCTCATCTGAATAAAAAGCGTTCCTATCTCTTAGTCCCATCCCACCTCAAGGCCTTTACCTTCGGATGCTGCAGCCTGAACGCTCTTTCTCCCACCCACTCCAGGCTTCCCATGGCATTTAGGGAAGTCTGCTCCGACGCCGGCTTTCAGAGGGGCCCTGTCCAGCAGCCCTGTCACAGCACTGTAAGACCTCAGAGTTCAAGCGCTGTCTTGACATCATTGCGTCTCACAGGGCCCCAAAGGTCAAGCCATGAGTTCCCCTGGTCTCAGCGGATATGCCACCCACTTAGCAGGCAAGGCCCAGCACTGTCCCTCAGCCAGACCAGACCACTGCCTCGTAGCCAACCTAATGGGTTTCACTTCCCAGAAAATTATTCAAATGAGCTAATCACACCCTCCCATGGAAACCAGGGCTCACCCAACCCTGTTGTCACTACAGAGCCTGCCTCCCACAGCCCCTGCTGGTTCACTCTGCTTCCAAGTACCGGCCCCAAGTGCAGCCTCCCTGTGGCCCTGTGTGGCATGCAGTGTCCTCCCCGGGGCTACGAGCATATGTGACTAGTAAACTGCTGCCAATCTCATCTGTCCAGTGCCAGGTGTCCTGTGTTTGCCACCTGGCACTCTTCGGGGCAGAGGGTCCGTTCTTCACCAATAGGGTGACTAGGTGTAAGAACAAGCCTCCGCTCCACCCTTCACCACCCCTCCCCATCCCCGCCTCACTTCTGCCCACCATGGATCACAGCCTGGAATCCACTAATGATGGACATGCTGACTGTCTGTCTCCCTTTCTCAGAAGTCCATCAGAGCAGGCCCTTGTGACAGCACAGCCCTACATCTACTCCTGGTGCACCGTGAACATTAGAGAGATGAATGGCGAGCGCTGCGAGACCCAGCATGTAGGGAGCCTTCTACTCCCGTCGGCTGTCATTACAGGAGCCTGGTTATGGTCTGTCCGGGGAGACTGTGACCGTTATGAGGTAGAGGATGGTACCCACAGTCACACTGAACTGTGAGGTCCACAGTCATAATGAGCATGGTGACTGGCACAGTCATGCTCGCTATGCACTTGCTGAAGAGGAAAGAAAAGGTGACTAATTGTCAAACGCTGAGAGAAAAGGAGTTTCTGCCATGTGCCCTACCACTGGTGACAAATGAAGATACAAAGACGAAGGTGACATCCTACCAGCAAGTCACTGGTGAAATTCACGGGACTCAGGAGCCTGACCACCACTCAGTGCCCGGAGGGGGGCTGGCGAGGCTGGACGTGACTCATCTTCCCCCTTCCCTGCTCCGCCTGCCGCTCACCATGCCTTGCTCCAACGCCTTCTTGATGCGCCCGGTGTCTGCCACCGGGAACCAGATCTCAGCGATGATGCACTGCTGGGTGACATCGATGTTGCACATGTTCAGGATGTGGTAAATGGCCTTCATCTTCTGCACCTTGACCACCCAGGAGTGCCAGTTGGCAGCCGCTTCCTGCAGGAGGCTCTGACGGTGAGACTCCGTTTGTGTTATAACCTGGGCAAAAAGCAACACACAGAAAAACAAGGGGCACTCAGGAAATGTCTGGCAATGTGGCAGGAATGGGGGTTCACCAGCTGCTTCCTCTGCTCTGGACCTGGATTCCCTCCTCTGGCCTGTGGCTCTCACCTGGCCTTGAACTCTCATGAGCAGTGTATCTCCCCTACTAGAGGTTCAAACTCTTAGGCAGAATTCTTCCTTTTCTTCTAAATTCCTCCCAGTACTATTATGTGTTAAATCCTGTCTCCCAAAAACATATGTTAACGTCCTAATTCCTGGTAACTGTGAAGGTTGATCTTATTTGGAAATGGGGTCTTCGCAGATGCAATTAAGATGAGGTCAGACCTGAGGAGGGTGGGCCTACTGAATACAACTGGTGTCCTTACAAGAAATTTGGACACCTGTATGATGGAGGCAGAGACTGGAATGATGCATCTACACACCAAGGAATGCCAACAGATTTTTCTAGGAGGGTGAAGATGCCTGTTAGCCTAAGAGTTTGGAAACACACACACACCCAATGTCTAAGGACAGCATTGAGGATCTAGAACCATGCTGACCAATACATCAGCCGCATGGAGCTACAAGAATTTAAATCACAAGCCATGTTCCAAGAGCTCCAAGGTCACATGGGAACTTGGCTCCTGTGGGTTATATATGTAACATTTCCACCACCACAGAAGTCCTGCTGGGCAGCACCGATGTAGAGTTCACAATACGATGTGGGATCAGCTGCTCTTAGAGATCACTTTCAAAGCGTCTTAAAGAAAGTATTCTAATCATGAAAGCGCTGAGCGCCACTGTGGGTGACGACAGATTTTATAACAACTGGGCAATTCAGCAGCAAAAGAATCGGTCAGGCTGGCTGTTCGACTTCATTGGCTAGTTGGTTGTATCATAGATGAGGCTGAGCTGTGGTCAGTTCTAACTGCAGGCAAAATATTACTGACATGAAAATATTACTGGCACCTCCTGTGCCACGAGGTTTCCAGCTCAGCCAGAAAGAGCCCAGAACCAGTAGCCCTGCCCGCCATCCTCCGGACCAAGGGAGCCTCGTGCTCCACAGAAGAGGGCAGCCCCGCTCCGCCCGGTGCTGAAGCCCAGCGTGGCCTCCCTACCCACTGAAGGAGGGCTCAAAAGAACTGCATTGCTGAGACCTCCTTGGGGAGTGGTTGGGTGGGGTGGGGCCCTGGCTGGGGGGAAGGGACCGGCCCTGCGAGGACCACCCGCTGTGTCCAGTACCCACTGTGTCGGGATGAGCACAAGGATCCAGTTCTGGGCTTGGAGTTCAGATGAAGAGTCATCACCTCTAGCCTATGAAACAGCCTCTTCATTATGAAATCTTCTGCACCAGGAGCTACAAGAGCATAGCAAGCCTCCCAGCCAGCTTCCAGCAAGGGCCCCAGAGGACAGGACTGATTCGGCAATGGCAGAGGTAGCCCAGCCGCCGTGCCCCTCAGAGCACGTGCCTGAAGCCCTCACTCACGGTGACTATATCTTCCAGCCTCGTGTTGATACCAGCCAGCATCTCCTTGCGCTCCGCCGCAGGCTCTGGGCAGGGGTAAATGGTGGCTCGAAACCTGTGTTTAATGCATTCCAATTGACACATGGTTATCGCTCCAAAGCATTCTGCACACCCTCCTCTGCTAAGTCACTACTTGCTGGCTTCGGTGAGGCAACACCTTTTCCTAGACTAACCTGCTCCGTGGCCGTCTATAAATGAACCCCCTTTAGAAGGCTTCCCAACACATGGCTCACACTATAGGAATGGGCTTCTTTCAAACCATAAAGCCTGTGAGCTGTTATATAAACAAAACCATAAGCTTAACTTGCCCCTTTTTGTCCCCCAGAATCTATTAACGCATTAATGTCCTTCTTTACTGAGTAATCTCTGCTTCTAAGGGCCTGGAAATGAGATGATTCTGTAACGTTAGAAACAGCTTAGCATGTGGTTTGCCTGTGAGCAGGGATAAACGGCAATGGTTTAAAAGGATCCACTTTTAGTTACCTTTAAATTTTGCCCCTTTAAGTCCTCTCTGTTCCTATTTCCACAGCTATTAAGGGTCAGTTACATTCTTCACACTCTCTTATCAAATGTGGGAAAGTTATTCTAAAGAGATGATTCTGTAACGTTAGAAACAGCTTAGCATGTGGTTTGCCTGTGAGCAGGGATAAACGGCAATGGTTTAAAAGGATCCACTTTTAGTTACCTTTAAATTTTTCCCCTTTAAGTCCTCTCTGTTCCTATTTCCACAGCTATTAAGGGTCAATTACATTCTTCACACTCTCTTATCAATGTGGGAAAATTATTCTAAATCCCCAAACGGACCTCAAAGAGGCCTCGATGGTGCCTTTCGCATTGCACATCAATAAAATATATTTTAAAAAAAATAAAGTTATTCTAAATCCCTAAACGGACCTCAAAGATGGTGCCTTTCACATCGCACGCCTCTGGCCTCACCCTGCCCCGTGCGCTGGTGACGGATCCACTGCCCGCCTCCCTTACCCCTCGCAGATCTTCCTGATCTTCTGCCGGAGCTGCTCTCCTTGATAAAATATGATGAACATGTTCTTTTTCATTTCTTCTTTCTGGAAAATCAGAACGAGGAGGAAAAAATGAGCTTTTCTTTCTGGTTACATTACAATGAAAATGTAAAGTTCTGTTTTTAGGTTTTAAAATATATATAAATTTAAAATTGAAAAACCTCCATTTCTCCCAGTTGGTCCAAGTTTGTAATTCATTATGGCTGAGGGCAAGGCCACCCAGGCAGGCTGTATGGGGCCAGCAGGGAGGCCAGTGCAGTCTTAAGGGGACAGAGAGTCCCACTGTCGGCTCCACTAGTTGGATCACAGCTGGGCCCTGTACTCAGCTCTAAGCCCTCTACTTAAAGAGATGTATTAATAAACAAGGAAGCGTCCGGAAGAGGGTCGCCAGGATATTGCAAGGCTTAACATGAAAAGAGCTGACCTAGCTCCCCAGGGTTAACTCACACACAGGCATCTCAGGGGCGAGTGAGTGCTTGATATTTAACAAAGGTAAAGTCGTGTCTAATGTTGGACCCACAGTTACTCACTGTACATCCATAAGAACACTGATTAAAATGCATCTTTTCTTTTGCCTGTCTGCTTGTTTCTATTGCAGATCAAAGTCTGGGACTGCAACACAGGCAAGTGCATTGAAACCCTGCAGGTAAGGCCCGTGGTGTTAGCATCCCAGGGCGCAGTGGAAGGCGTACCAGGAAGCCGGGCTAAGGCAGATCTTGCATCCTCACAGCCCAACGACGTGTTTTTGGCAGGGAGCCCGGATGTGGCCCAGGCTTGCACCTTCACCCCAGATGGGCAACTTTAGTAGCGTCCGGAGCTGCTGACTAGGCAAGACGCCGAATCCACGGCATAATCAAGCCACCCAGGGCCTCTCCGATATAACATCCCCGCACATGGCTCTCAGAGCTCAACTCCAGCCTCTCCCTGCCCAGCACCCATGGCGCTGGCAGAAAGGATCGTCAGGGCAGCTCCACGCTCCAGGCCCCAGGTCACCACACCAGAGCACCCAACAGATCCTTGCAGCCAGGACTGCCAGGCCCCCTCACCAGGATGAAACAGCGACTGGCAGGGCTGCCCAAATCCATCAGATGCCTGCGCCTCACCAGCCCGGCTCTCCAGCACAGTCAGCTGAAACAACGGCAAACACAAAGCAACGTCAGCCAGTTTGTGCTCTACTGACGCCGCGATGCTCAGGCCTTGACGGTGCTCAGGCCTGGACCTTGGACTTGCGCAGAGGGTACGGCCGCTCCTTCCGCGGCTGCTTCTTGGTCTTTGGGTTCCCTTCATGCTGCTGAGCCACGGCGCATGGTTTGTGTTTTCTTGGGCCACAGTCCCACGGGCTTGCACTTCTTGCCCTTGTAGAATTTCCTGAGGGCCCCTTTCTGAGTCCGGTTAATGACGGTAAGAACGGTAAGAACGCGGGCGACAGATTTGCGAACAACTCAGATCTTAGGAAGCGTGGAAGCAGGGCCGCCCGTCCCTTTGGCTCGGGCAGCTGGGACAGCTCCACCTTCAGGCCGGCCAGCTGTTTGAGCAACTTGTCCTTCTTGCCATGAAGGTCTCGAGCCCTAATTTTGGCCATGGCTAAACAAGCCGCAACCGCCTGCCTAAGATGCATCTTAAAAGTCCAAGTTTGACAATTCACAAGAAAGGGAGAAGATATATTTCATAAGCATATATGAAAATGTTACTTTAAGCAAAGAAATGTGCCCTTTTGCTCTTATTTCATTCGGGGTGGAGGGTAGTCAAGGCAAAATTATGGAGCCCATTGTTGGAAAAGTTGCAATAAATCCAACGAACTAGTCACATACCACTTGGGGCACTGGAATCAGGTACAACCCCTTCCCTGAGAAACTATCTGTCAGGTCCCAGCCAGTGTCACAAAAATGCCCACAACCCTTAGAGCCAGCAACCCTATTTCCTTGAATCCCTATCCTGGAAGCAATTCAAAAGAAAATAAAAATCCACGTGCATGACAATGTCAGGGGATTGGACCTGCACCCCAGGTACTCACCCTTGACCAGGAATCGAACCTACAACACTTCCATCTGTGGGCTGTCATTCTAACCACTTAGCAACACCAGCTAGGCCCCCAAGTCATTCTTTTTAAAAAAATATATTTTATTGATTTTTTACAGAGAGAAAGGGAGAAGGATAGTTAGAAACATCAATGAGAGAGAAACATCAATCAGCTGCCTCCTACACACCTCCTATTGGGGATGTGCTGGCAACCAAAGTACATGCCCTTGACCGGAATCGAACCTGGGACCTTTCAGTCTGCAGGCTGACACTCTATCCACTGAGCCAAACCAATTAGGGTCCCCAAGTCATTCTTATGCTCACATGCACACTGACCTAAATCAGTTTAGTTCTTTGTGATTAAGAGACAGCCTGGCTGGGTAGCTCAGTTGGTTAGAGCATCATCCCGATACACCATGGTTGCAGGTTCTATCTCTGGTCAGGGCACATACAGGAAGCAACCAATGAATGCACAAATAAGTGGAACAACAAGTGATCTCTCTCTCTCTCTCTCGCTCTCTCTCTCTCTCTCTCTCTTCTGCTTTCTCTAAAACCAATTTTTTTTTTTTAAATCAGGACAACAACAACAAAAAGACACAGCTGCCTAGTGTGGAAGGAGTATAGCTAAGTTTCTCGAAGGAATGCGGTGTTAGGAAGAATCAGTTTTTGACCTTTCGAAGGTAGAAAAAAAGAAAAGAGAAAGCAAGGGAATAGATATTGGCTTCACAGAAGTGAAGACTCGGTGTCTGCAGGAACGCAAGCCCTCTGGTGAGGGATACAGGGAATTTAGGAGGAAGTTATCTGCAGCCTGAGATACCCACTGTGACGGGATCCTCCAGAACTGTGTCCATCTCACTGAACTTCAAGTAGATGTTTCCTCGGCAAACTCGCCACAGCAGCCTCTCGAAGGAAGCCATCCTCTCCCTGTTTATCACACCAGCCGTGAACCTGGTGTCAACAGTCAGAAGAGGACACGTTACTGCGGAACAGGGAGGGGGGTGCAGGGAGAAGACTCCTGGAGACATGAAGATGCGAAGCCACTGAAGGTCCACCTCCCTCCACGCAGGACGTGATGGCACAGACCTGCCTGGCACCCAGAATCCCAGCCCTAATCTACCTCAAGTCCCTTGTGACCTCCTGTTTTCTTGGGCATGGTAAGGTTTCCTTAACCATCCCAATAGTTTGTATTTAATTATTTGCAATTAAAAATATGATAGACCATTCATTATAGCATTGTAGATGTTCAAAATGCTCAACAATGGTCTCTGTATTATTACAAATAATGTACTAAGAGGGAAGCATACACATGGATTTGTATACATCGTTATTTTTACCATCATCCAGGCATCTAGATCATTTCTGACCCAAACTTTACACTTTAACCTTGAGATGGTTACTTCCATCGGTCTATTATGTTTAATGTACATTGGTCTATATTACTTTCAGATCAAACATTTTCAGTATCTTTCCTTTATATTTCTAATTCGATGCTTACTACCTCAAATAGCAGGCCTATTGAATAAAAAACTAGAGTTGCAAAACCCAGCACTTTGATCAATTCATCAATTTTACTTTCCACTGTGTGAAATCCCACCATGTTGATGGGCATAACCACATTGTAGCACCACTATTTGTGAATGACTTGATTGTATAACTATCCCATTTCTAATGGGAACAGTTAAGAAAACCCATCAAAATTATTATCCCCGTCCTAGCTGGGTAGCTCAGTTGGTTAGAGCATCATCCTGATATGCCAAGGTTGCAGGTTCAATCCCTAATTAGGGCACATACAGGAATCAACCAATGAGACACTGGAGTGGTGGGGGCTTGCCCTCAGGGGTGGGAGTGGCGAGGGGGAGTCAAGGGGGGTGGGGAAGGAGACATATGTAAAACTTTAAACAATAATAAATAAATAAATAAATAAATAAATAAATGTGTTCTCTAGGGGAAAAAAAGAATCAACCAATGAACGCATAAATATGTGGTACAAAAAATATATTTCTTTCTCTCTCTTTCTCTCAAAATCAATTAAAAAATAAATAAAATAAAAAGTTAAAAATTATTATCCCCACATCTTTTCTATGTGGGGACAATACAAACATTGCACTCTTTGGACTCATTCCAGTGGCTATTTGTTTGTCCATTCATTCATCTATTCATTCATTCAAACACGCGGGGAACCCTATCACACGCTGGGCACTGAGGACCAACGGAGGACCCGTTTCCACATAACTTCCAGAACAGTTACACTAACCCCAGCTTTCCGGCCATGTACGCGGGCATAGCTCTTAACTCCAGGAGACCAGACGTGTCTTCAGTAAAGAAATCATCAGGTAAGTTGGTTTCCGTCTGAAAGTTAAATGATCAATATTTTCATTTAAACGTATTTAAATAAACTTAAAAGCACCCCACACCTCCAAGTTTATTCTATTTCTAAGGAAGCTTTAATTTTCTACAAAGAGTTAACAGAATTCAGAAAGTGGAGCGCTCCATGCCACATCAAAAAGCTTCCCCAATCTCTTCCTACCCAAATCCCAAATCTGCTCAAACCAACTGTTCTGCTTTGTTCTGACTTACACTTCTGTCCTGGCCATTTGGGGCACATCCTTTTTAATGAGCATCATAGTACGTTGCCATTTAATTCAACCAGCACCACAGCCATTGCACCCAGAACACTCCCCGCTCACCAGTGGCCCAGCCTTGGGGCAGAAACGGTGCTTTGTTCACATTCCAAACCAGCCAGCTTTCAAAATAGAAATTTGAGGCTGGGGGGAGGGGTGGCAAGGAGGGCTTTAAATAGTCCCCAAATAATGACCTCAAAAAAGTCCTGGGTTTTCTTCAGGAGATACTTGAGTTCAGTCAGTTCTAGGAAGCTTTTCTTCAACGCCTGATGGTTCTGGTTGGCTTCCTGTAACTCTCCTTCGAGCTTTTCCAGAACGGTCTATAAGGAATGAGAAAAACGGTAGTCCAGGCAGAAAGTACTATGACATTGACTGTACATTAACCACACAGATAAGTAAGTAGAAAAAAAATATTCAGGGCATCATAGTGGAGCCCGAAGGGGCCTGTGCAGTCGTTAACTCTGTGTGATGGTAGAGCTGTAAGCCAGAGCCACAGTCACACACTCTTGCGTTCAGTCATCGTGGGGAGCATTAAAAAACACTCCGGGGAGTGAAAAGGCAGCTTCATGGAGAAGTCAAGGCATTTTGGCAAATTACATGTCTCTTCCCCATTTAAAACACTGAAGAGAGGCCCTAGCCAGTTTGGCTCAGTGGATAGAGCGTTGGTCCACGGACTGAAGGATCCCGGGTTCGATTCTGGTCAAGGGCACATACCTCAGCTGCAGGCTCAATTCCTCACCCTGGTCTGGGCACATGTGGGAGGCAACCAATCGATGTGTCTCTCTCACATAGATGTTTCTCTCTCTCTGTCTCTCCCGCTCCCTCCCACTCTCTCCAAAAATCGTTGGGAAAGTATCCTTGGGTGAGGATTAACCAAAAATAAGAATAAGAATAATAAAACACTAAAAAGGGAAGCTGAAGTGAATTTACATGTTGAGAATTCCTTCTGCCCAAACACACTGTAATAATAACAAAATATAAAAAGAGAAACCTAGTGTCACCCCCCACCACCAACAACCAACAAATACCAGGTATGGGCTGGAGCCTCGAAAGCCAGGGATAAGCAGGCGTAATAAGGGAACAGAGGAGCACAGGCACGGAAGATGAAAAGACAAAAAAACAGAGAAAAGAACCATCTCCCTTCCAAAACGAGCATCCAAAGAGAACATGGCTCAGGAAGACGTCTAGGTCCTGTCCGGTCCCGGGGGCTGTCTGCAGGCAGATCAGGCTGTAGGACGACACAGCTCGCACCAAAGGACAAACTTCTGCCAAAACTCAGACACAAGATCGGGGCGAAAGCATCAGCCAGGATGCCATCTCACCGTTCCCAAGAACAGGTCTATGACAGAGAA